CTTTCACGTAATAATAAGTAATTTTAATTATTTCTGGTTAGTGAAAAATTTTTGATGTGTGGCCTGAAATTTGGTAACTGGGGGTAAAGTGGGACACTTTGGTTGAGGTAAAGTGGGACAGTTTATTTTTGCATTTTATGCATTTCACGCCACATTTAAGGCATACAAACAGTGTTTATCTTTAAATTTAATCGATTTTGAATGTTTGTTGTAGTTTTATAGATACATATCTATAAATTTGTGCCAAAAAGACGCCATCAGAAGAATCGACGTTGAAATCGGGTGAAACAGCAATGTCCAGTGAACCAAAATTATGATTATTACAGCTAGGTGGTATCAAATATTACCGGAATACCGAGAGACTATCGCGACTCTAATAAGATACTGCGCATCGTCATTTCTTTATTTTTCCAAAAACCGGTAATGCATTTTTTCCCTTCATTCAGTATAATGCCATTGTTTCCTAGTTTTCGAAATAAATTGCCAGTGAAAGTTGATAAAAACAGTCGGAAATTGTTTGAAATAGATGAATTCTCCGAATTATACATGAAATACCAACAAATATTGAGATATTTTGCTGAAAAACATACAAAATGGTGGCTGTCCCAGATTACCCCCACCTATGTCCCAGATTACCCCCACTGTCCCAGATTACCCGCAAGGGTAAGCCCTTCGGAAAATTAGCGCCCCTTCCACCTCAGACGGGGCAGGAAGAAAATGAAGTTTGCCAAAAGTTGCCTTTTTACAATACCTTTTCTACGGTATATAATTTTTTTAAATTTCCTTCAATAGCACCCGAGTTCCGCCTATTTGAAAAAAAGTGTCCCAGATTACCCCCATCTCCCCTATATCATGTTGTTGGTTAATGTATTGCAAATAAGTGAAAATTTAACAGTGTGAAGATATTTTTTAAGATTCATTAAATCACTCTCAGATTTTAACAGTATACTTATGTACTTATAAAAAAAAATCTTCGACTAGCGATTTCCCTGTTGAGCCCCCAGTTACAGACAAGATTGATTCTTAGTCGAATAAAACAATGAGAACAGCTGCAAAAAGTTAAGATTCGAGCACTATGTGCATTTATTGATCTCCCTCTACAGACTGAACTCGTTTATAGAACAACTTTACTTCTATTTATACATTTTTTGTTAGGTTTAAATTTCTATTCAATAGCCATGATTCTGCAATCGACTTTGTTACACCTTTTTAACTATGACCATTCTCAATTATATTTCTTATCGTTTTCACATATTTGAACTTGAACGTTTTAAAATAAAACAAAGCACTGGGACCAATTTTACAAAATATAATATCGTTATTGTTGTCGATATTAACTCTCCTCACACTTTAAAACGATCGTCCCCGATTGTTCCGCTTGATGGCACATTGCAATGCCCAGAATTTTGATTTGGACTAGTTTCCAAAATATGTTGAATATATGTGCTACAGAACCGCATATGTTCTCTTTTATCATTATTGTTTTGTTTTAATCTTAGAAACGTACAGTTATTGTTCATCGAATGCTTATGGAACTCGATGATTCAAAAGTAGTGATTTTATAACAGTCACCAAGCAATGTCTCAAGATTTTATGAATTTTCTTCATAAAAATTTACTTCAATTAAGACGAACAGACTTTACAGCCGTAAATTACGTGCGTATAGGTATGAATGGTAGCTAAATGGCAACACTGATGTCGCTGTGAGCGTGAACGTTGTGTACGAAATGTCAAACTGTCATATGTTCGTTCTTCTTTTGTTTACCTTCAACGAGTACACAAGTACATTATAGCGTCAGATTTTTGTTAAAATATAATTTGTTTTACTAAAATGGCTTATAATCAACAAAATGTTCCGATTAACTAATGTTAATCAAAATGTTTTAAACGGTATGTAATTTTTAGGTCTATATATTGTATTGTGCTGTTTTGTTTTGTTCTGTTTCGTTTTGTTTTGTCGTAATTAGACTCGTAACCATCTCTCTTTGTCTACATCGCAGCATTCAATGAACTGAATATCAAAGAGGAAATTTTAATCAAGGAGGATACGGATGTTCTCGAGGTTGTGGAAAAATTCAGTATGTGTTGTCCGATCATTTTACTATTGTGAATTTGATTGCCATTGATGATGTTAACACCATTCTGATTTAAATCATAGATTTAGCAGGCGAGTATTTAGAAATCATCCACTTACATGATCTAGCTGTCTTGGACAGTATGGCTAAATTAGCAGCAGCAGCAGATGCGATGGGCCAACCTAACGGAATATTACCAACTAATGCTCAAGCAATGGTCCGAGCGAGCAAAAGTTTTGTAAAAAATATGAAGCAGATATTATATCATGCGCAAGTTTATGAAGTCAACACGCATATTGTCCCAGACTATGATCTGCAAGATGAAACGAATATCTGTATGCATTATTTGGATTAGTAATAATCAGAGGTCTCATTTGCTCTCAAAATATATTTCGTAATATCGCGGAGCTACTGCGAGTAGCACGTATCTTTTGCTAATGGGAAGAGATAAACCGAGAAAACGAAACACACGAACCATATTGACGCATACATACAGCCGCGTATAGCGTACACGCGAACGGAGTCGAACGATGGCTGTGTGCATGTGTCAATATGGTTTGAACGAAAGAGTGTAACACACAATCGCGCACAGCTTCGTTCGTGTGTTTCGTTTTCTCGGTTTATCTCTTCCCATTCGTTCGTCGCATCAGCGTAGCCGCTACTTGTAAACAGCAAAAGATAAGATATAAAACAGATATTACGAAATATATTTTGAGAGCAAATGAGACCTCTGGTAATAATATTTGAATTGATTTATGAAAATGCTTTTTATTCCTAGGCTCCCTGGGATGGTATGCACGGATGATTCGTCAAACTCTAACTCAAAGAGCACAAATTGCTGCTGCCATAAAACTATATTGTGGTTCTGGTAATGGATCTGTTTCCGCTCTTGCTACGCAATTAGATCCCGGCTACAAATTATTGTCAGCATTACGTACGCATGCTCGGGCTCGTTATCCGAATTACAATAATTACGTTATTGTATAATGACGTCGCGTCGTCGGGTCTGACACTAACAACGAATTTTTAAAATTTAATTTCTCCAATCTATTCCAACCTCTTAATTGTAGGGGAAGAGGGGGTAAAGTGGGACAGGGGGTAATCTGGGACACCC